TGAAAATGGGCTTTTTCTTATTATTTACATATTTTAGAAACTGGTATTCCCAATGTATCTGTCCCCAATTCCTCGCCACTAATGTACTTTTGGTCAAATAAGCTTTCATGGAAAAATATCACAGCAAGTTCAGCTTTGTTCAGAATGCTTCAGTCTTAAAGACCTCCTTTTAAATCCATCTTTAAGCACTGCATTCTAACCAGGAAACTATACTTTTAGCCACCAAATATGATGTATGCCATATCTGAAATATTTTAACAAAATGTGATCAAATATGTGGGCTCACTGTTTCTACTGTCTGTTCAAAGTAAAATACACTCTAGTCATCAGACAGTCTTTATACCAGTCAGATCAAATTGTCAATATGTTGGGGTGATGTAAGAAAAATAATGACTGACTAGTTACAGGCCATCTTCTAAATACTTTTGGTGAAACACTATGGCTCTTTATGAAGGAAAATGAGTCCCATGTACTCTTCAGTGCATCCTGGTCTCATTCAAGGTAACGCTCTTCCTCCTCATCCTCATCCTTTGCTTGTTGACTGCTGCATGTGGCTATCAAGAATCTGGGTCAAAGATATCAGGGGCTTAGTAGTGCCCTTGAACTTCAGCTCCAGAGCACACACACCTGTGGGAGATATTCTAATACAGATTTAAAAGCAGTTCCTCTCTCTTGGCTTCTAGGTCTAATCCAACTATTTTTGTTTTATGGAGTCTACTCTAGGTGATCAAACCTCATCCTGCTAGGGTGTGACCACCCTATTTTGAGATTATCTTTGTTTTACTAATCCATAATCATTGTAAATTGGCAACAGCAATCAGCAATAGAACCAGTAAAATTTGAAGAAAGTACCAAGGGACAATATTTACTTGAAGTCACTGGGGACCTTTTAATAGGACATAGCTTTGTGGATGAACATGGAGGAACAGAGCTGGAAGATAACTGTCGTGTTCTAGTCTCACATCCACAGGAGAGCCATAGGGTCTTAGTTAAGTTCTCTCTCCTTTTTGCTGTTATGTTTTCTGTGGCCACTTGAGTTTAAATGAAGTCATAAGGCTGGGCATGCTGACTCACGCCTGTAATCCCAACAATGTGGGAGGCCATGGCAGGTGTATCATTTGAGCTCAGGAGTTTGAAATCAGCCTGGGAAACACCGTAAAACCTCATCTCTACAAAAAATACAAAAAATTAGCCAGGTGTGGTGGTATATAATTGTGGTCCCAACTACGTGGGAGGCTGAGGTAGGAGGATCACTTGAGTCAGGGAGGTCAAGGCTGCAGTGAGCCAAAATCATGTCACTCCAGCCTGGGCAACAGAGTAAGACCCTGATTCAAAAATTAATTAATTAATTAACCATAATTCGTGTAAAAATACTCCAAAAATCATACATGTCCTCAAATGATTTTTTAAATAACAAAAATGAACAATCAATATTAAAAATATTATGTATTAAAACATCAAGATTAAATTGGTTAATTAGTGAAAATAGCCAAAAACTTGAAAACATCAAACCTTTGTATTCACAAGAAACAGTCATTCTCACGCAAATAAGTGTAAACCAGTACGAGCTTTCTTGCAGGTAATTTGGTCACATGTATCAAATCACATTATAATGCAGTGCCTTCAATTCTAGGTATTTGTTGTAAAAAAATAATAAAAAATATTCATGATAATATTCAGTTGAATTTTTTTGTACTCATATTTGTAATAATGAAAACTTGAAAAATCTAAATGTTGCTTTTTAAAATTTTAACAGGGAGTTGATTAAATAAATTATAGTACAGCTGAATAAGATTTAAAAATCCTCGAAATGTAATGAAATAAGAAAATATGCATTATCTACTGTCAGGTAAAGAAAGCAAGGTACAAAAAGTATGTTGAACATGATCTCTAGTTCGTAGAAACATGGAAAAAAAGATCTTAGCAGTAAAATATTAACAGTCATTTTTCTCTAGATGAAACTAATAGTTTTTAACTTCATGTTTATTTTATGTATCACTTTTTTCATAAGAACAAAAGTTATGTAAAAAGCACAAATTCTCTCCAAGAGACATTTTACTTTTTGGTATCTTTTAAGCTTACAATTCAATAATTAGCTTTCAATTATATCCACTATCTTCAGATAAATTATAATAAAATAAATAAGAAATTTTCCCTTGGAAAGAAAGCAGAAAACTTTATTTGCATGTACAGGTTTCTGAATATTTGGAAGTAGGTTAGACATGCTTTAAGGGTAACAGCTTTTCAAAGACTGTCAACTATAGAAATGCTGAATCAGAAACCTTAGAAATTTTGATCATCTTTTTGTGTACACTGCCTAAAAAAGTTTGTTTCGCTTACATAAACCATTGCCTATCATTATTTCACAGGTCTTATCTCCTTTAAAAACTGACTACACATCAAGCAACATCCTCACCCAACACAGGTCTTATCTCCTTTAAAAACTGACTACACATCAAGCAACATCCTCACCCAACACACATTCTGAGGAATACCACAAACTTTAAAAAATTCCACATTTGAAGCAAAAAAAAAAAATGCATTACTAATTATTAATGCCAAGCCTCAAACTACAAATATGAGTGCAATTCAGGGTGACGACCACCAAGCCCAACCAGACTGCTGAGCTGAGAAGCCACTTGTCCTCTACCCGGCCTCCCTGCCAGCGGCCCACAGGCGGGGACACGTGGCCGACTCTCTCCAGGTGCCTAGGGCCATTTGTCCTCACACCACAGAAGATGAAGATCTGTTCCCTGGGGCCGAGGGAGGACTGAGGAGGTCCAGAGAGCACCCACTGCCATGTGTGGTGTTCATTTGCTGGGACACACAAAACTAGATGAAGCCAAGGGTGGACACCTTTACTCAGACACCAATGAAATGAAGAAAGGGGAAACGTGTAAAGTCGATCTACAGATTGTAGGTATCCGATTCCTTCCCTGGATTATTCAATCCATTTGCATCCTTACAAATTGAGTTTCTGCATTACTAATTATACCTGTATTCAACTGAAGGTGCTACAGAATCATAAAAATATCTTTCAATTTATTTTTTCAAATCCAGCGGACGATAGGGCGGTTACATTTTGGCATCCCCAAGGGCTGCTGTGGGAGGTGATGTGCAGCTCTGGCTCCTCAGCCGTGTCCCACATCCCCCAGCAGCATCCTGGAGCCTGGCCTCTATCCCCCCACCCCGTAGGAGCCGCCCTGCCTCTGGGTGACAGCAGAGACCCTCACCTGCGGCAGCTGGATCCGCAGGCCGGTAAGGAGGCATTCAGAGTGTGCTTCTGTGGCAAAAGCTTTAGGGGCTCAGAGCCCCAGTGGAGTCATTTAGTCATGCGTAAGCCATGTGGCCTTGGGTCCATCCCTCACCCCTGCTGTGCGTGGCCCCTCACCCCTGCTGTGCGTGGCTCCTCACCTGTAAACTGAGCGTGAAAGTAACAGAACCCACCGCACACAGTTGTGAGGAAGGAATGAGTTCATGGGTGTGAAGCACTTAGAATATTCCTGGGCACCGGGGAAGCACTCGACAAATATTAGTCGGGGTCGTCCTGTTCATTAGCGCTGTCAGTGGTGTGACTGAGATAACCTCATCTCCTGTGCATTGGTTGGGAAATTATGGTCAGTGACAACGTGGCGACACAGTTGATGAGTTGGGAAGAAAAACATGTAAAGGAAAACCCCAATTCCATGTCCATCTCCCAAAGATCAGAGCTCAAGTTGCAAGTGCCTTTAAAATGACTCATTACTTAGCGACACACTGCGACCGTGTCCGGCGACCCCCTTCTGGGCAGCACTCACCTCCCTCTACCACTTCACCTGCTGCTGCTAACACTTTTGCTGTAAGGGTGAAATCACATAATCATATGTTTGCGGGTTTGTGGTAAAATAAACATAACTTCAAAGGATTATTATGCAAAGCCCCCACACCACTGCAGTAAGCCTAATTGTTATTCTTCTCTGTCACCCCTTGAGCCCAAAGTACATAATCACCCAGTAATTGAACTGAAATGTCTAAATGGCTGAGACTCCTAAAGGACATAGCTATTTACCAATGAAAAAAGTCAGAAAAATTTAGCAAACCTCCCTGGCACTCTGCTGCGTTAGTACAAAAGACTGTGTAAATATGACCCACCTGGACCTGCTCCTCCTCCTCAAATCATTAATGGAAACAGAACAATCCTCGCTGTCATGGGGCAATGTGAGAGAAATAATTAAAATATCACAATTGCTTAGCTGCTTCTGAACAGAGTGCTGTATGCTCTAACCTTTCTCAGGATATAATTTTATGAAAATTTAAGCAAAAGGCAGAAAAGTAAATTTTCCTGGTCATCTCATTAAGGGCTTCTGGGGCTGCAAGGAAGAGGCCAGGGGGCCTTGATGTCAATGCTTCCCTCAATACAGACTGGGCAGTGAGTCCCGGGCTTTCAGGGATGGGGGTCACCCTGGAGGTCGGGCGTTTACATGGCAAGCGTCCTGGCATTCTCAGTAGAGTCCTCCATGCTCTCATCTGCAGAAGCCTTGTTTCAAACACTGAATACAAGAGCAGCCAGCTTTCTTTAAAAAATTGTAGATTTTTAAAGCTCATGTTTGCCTCTTTAGAGCAACACAGAATGGATTCCCAGGTCCTTGGGGTCTTCGATGGTGGAGTAAGCCCTACCCCTCTCCTCCCATCATTAAATCTCTGGATAGACACACAGGTTAATTATACATATTTTTCAATTCTGCAAAGGATTTTCTGAAGGAAGCATCTCAGCCCACCTAAGTACAAAACAGCCAACGCTCAATGGCTAAACTCGTCAATCCTTGGCACCCCGTGGAGTTAAAAATTTTAATTATCATTTTTTTAAACGCAATACTTATCATTTGAATGAAACATGTCAGCACACAAATCATGAAATAATGATTCCGAATAGAATTTTTGTTGGTTGATTGCATAAGCAATACCTCTTGTTGCTGAAACAACATCTCAAAGGCAAAATAATGACGACATGACAATCCATGTAAATCAAGAACTGCATGTGGGTTTATTTTACATCTGAGAAAACAGTGGATTTAATTGTGTGAGCCAAAATGTACTGTACAATATTAATGATAGGACATCAAAATGTATAATTAATAGTGCATTGCTTGCTTTGTTTTTATGTACTTATTTCTGTCTGACAGTCCCTCTGAGTACACGCATCTGGAGAGACACAGTGCCAGTAGAAGTCCTCGATTTAAAATCAAGCTGCAGGAACTCAATTTTATTCAAAAATTGTGGTTTTACATTATATACACAGAAATTTAATATAAAATGACAATATAAAAAGTTAAAAGAGAAAGCATACAGCCAGAAGGTACAAAGAAAGTTGAAGAGATTAAAATGGTACGATATGTAACATACAGGAGTTTTTAAGCTGATGCTGGCAATTTACAAGGAAAGGACTCCAACGTTCGCCCCGGTTTTTTTTTTTTTTTTTTTTTGTTTTTTGTTTTTTTTTTCATTTACCAATGCAGCACGCTATAGAAAGGTCAGCTTGTACCAAAGCTTACATTTGTAAATAACTATAAACCGCAATATTTTACAGGAAAAAAGAAATAGCATTTTTACACATTTTTAAATAATAGCTTGCATACTTTTTTTTTTTTTTTTTTTTTTTGCCAAAAGTGGCATTTTTCAGCATCCAGAGGGTTTGGGCATAGTGGCGAGTGGGTGTCTGTTCTTTTTTGTTTTAAACATGTAGACTTGTGGCTTCCAAACCCGTGAGTCCTAGACAGCTTCCTATCTTCCCACAGCTGCATGCATCTTTCCCTCACAAACCAGTTCTGCATATAAAAGCTCATTTTTTAATTATTAAATAAGTTTTGCGTCTGACACAGCTTTTGATCTGAATGAAATGCCTTTAAGCCTTTTTTTCCTTTTTCTTTTTTTTTCAAGTGAAAGGCACAGAAATGCAATTACAGTCCTCAAAGGGTTAAACCTGACACTACCAGGTTCTATGACCTTTATTGTCATGGCAACTTCGTCATTTTGGGATGTCTCTTTATCATTGTTATTTGTGTCTTTCTTTACTGCTAAATAATGTCTCCGGGTAATGTGCCCCACTAGTTCCTACAAAAGATAGCTTCACATCAAGAACAGATGTTGAAAATAAAGGTCAGACTTTGACTCACGGAAAAAGAAAAATAACATGCACAGATCAGACAAAGAGCATATAAATATAACTACAAAATCTGTGTAAGAAAAACCAAGGTCCAGACAGGCAGTCCAGCAACAAAGGAAAGACTGATTTTAGAGGCTCAGGCCAGGCCTAGTGCAGCTCGACGACGTTTAGTGCAATGTTCCGCGGTCACTTGCATACCTGGACGCTACTGCTTCTCCAGCTCAGTCACATAGATCAGGTGGTCCTCGGGGGACTTGCCGTGCGTCTTACTGAGGTGCAGTTTGACTGCGTGCTTGCTCGCAAAGGTCCGGTTGCAGAGCTTACATTGGAATGTGGAGCCCAGGTCTTCCTCGGCGGCCCCCAGCGGGCCCAGAGTTTTGTTGGAGAGGACTTTCGAGACATTCTGCTGTTCTTGAATCTGATTGAGTGGCAGCTTGGAGAGATCCTTCAGGCTGAAGCCCAAGTGCGTCTCCAAATGACTGATGTACGTAGAAGCAGTTCTGAACTGAGAGGCACAATCGTTGCAAAAGAAAACAGGATGCCCTGTGTCTAAGTTCTTCAGGAATTTCGTCCCTCCTGTCCTCCTCAACTGGTACTTCACGTTGGCCAGCCAGTGGCTGATGGTGGTCATGGAGAGGCCGGTAAACTTAGAGATGTGCACCCTCTCCTGCGGGCCCAGGTCCGACATGATGTACTTGCCCTCCGCGGTCTCCCGCAAGCTCGAAGCGAACTGAGCCTGCAGGATGAGCAGGTGCTGCGGATTCCAGTTGGACTGCCGGCCCTTCCTCTTGTGGACCGGCGACAGCTCGTCCAGCGCCTCCTCAAAGCTGCTGCCATCCGCGTCGGACTTCTCCGAAACCGTGGACGGCGTGGACGACTTGGGTGTCAGGCGGCCCGTGAGGTTTTTCACCATGTCGGAGATGTCCATGAGCGCACTCTCCCGCAGAGGCGACGCCACCGAATCGGCCACGCTGGACAGCAGCGGCTTGTTCTTGGACTTGGTCAAGTCAATGGGCTGGTCGCTGTTTTCGTAGTAGTAGCGGTCGATGGAATCGGCCTGCTTCGCAGGGGTGGCGGGGTACACCGGCTTGTCCAGCATGCTGTTGCTGATCTTGTACAGCATTGCCAGCGGGTCCAGCGAGGGGCTCACGGGCTTGGACACCTTGCCCAGGTGGGTGTTCATGATGGACTGCAAAGCGCTCAGCGGATTGATGAAGGAAGGCTCCGGCGAGTGGTCCGTGATGATCCCCAGGTTGCTGCAGCCGTTGGTGACCTTTGCCTTGAGAGGCTCTGTGCCGTTTGGGGTGTGAATGTCCAGCGGCCCTTCCTTTTTGGCCTTCCCGGACTCGGCCTCAGGGCCCTTCTTCTGTTGTTTGCCGCTGACTTCCTCCGTTTTAGGGAAATCTTTATTCTCTTTTGCCACGGGGGACCCAGCGTTGGCCGGGGAGCTCTTCTCCTTCTCGGGGGGTCTCTCTTCCTTTTTGATGCTGACCTTGCCCGTGACCTTCTCCACCAGCTCCTCCATGGCAGACACGTTGCTCTTGTGCGGTGGGGGCGTGAGGCTCCCTGGGGAGTGCAGGAGGGCATTGTGCTCGGCGGAGGACAGCGACTTCACGCCACCGGCGTAGGATGGCTGCACCTGCACGCTCTGCACGGCCGCAGGTAGTGGCTTCACGGTGCCCGGCAGCTGGTAGGCCGCGTGGATGCTGGGGTAGCCACCCCACGAGGGCGCGCCGTTCTGGGCTTTGCTAATGGCCGTGGAGACGGTATTCTCGAGGGACTTGAGAATGTCCACCCCTCCCTTGGGGCTGTCATCCAGGTCCTCCTCGCGCAGGTACGGGTACAGGGTGCTGGGCTCAAACTTCTCCGAGCTGTCCTCGCTCTCCTCCTTGATCTTCTCCGTGTCGCCAGCCACTGGCACCTTCTCCTTCTCCGGCTCCTTCTTTTCCTCAGAAGCCGTGGACCCTGCGGGAGAGTCAGGCTGCTTTTTGATGCCGGAGGCCGGCAGCCGTGTGTGGGTGGTGGGCGGCAGGGGAATGGACTGGATCTTCTCTTCCACCACGGGGTCCAGCACCAGCTGCTTGCCCTTCTTGGAGGCCGACGTGGTCACTTTGAGGAAGTGCCCAGTGACCATCATGTGGGCGGTGAGCTGCTGCAGGGTGTCGTGGGAGCTGCCGCACTCCATGCACTTGAGGATCTGCGCCTTGCGGGCCTCGAACTGCCAGGTGTAGCTGGCGCCATTCTGGTAGCCGTAGCGGTTATTAGGCGTGACATACGGGTTTGCCGCTTTCTGATCCTTGGCCGACTCACTCAGGGCCACCTCTGTGGCCATTCCTGCCACTTCGGGGGAGCAGGGGGGCGCCAGGTCCTGCAGCGCCCGCTTTTTGGTGGAGGGGACCAGTTTGGTGATGGCTGGCACTGGCTCCTTCAGAGGCACTTTCTGGTAATGCTTGGTTTTGATCATGTGGACGCTGAGGTCCTGCAAGGACTCGAACGAGTGTCCACAGTACATGCACTTCAGCACCTTCTGGGCGTCCTCCTTCCCCTCCATCTCCATCAGGGAGCGCTTCCTGGGCTTGGACCACCGCTTGGTCTTCTCGGAGTCCTTGTCCCTGTTGTCGTCGCGGTAGTGGCCCGTCTCATTCATGTGCACCGTCAGTTCCACCAGCGTGTCGTAAGCCGCGCTGCAGTCTTTGCACCGGAACTTGCTGGCGCCAGTGAAGACAGAGCCGTAGAGTTTGTTGTTCTGGCGGTAGAGCTGCACAGTGCTGAACAGACTGGGCTCGGGGAGCAGCCCGTACGAGGACGTCTGCTGCAGCGTCTTGGCCAGGGCGGCTTGGTGCCAGTCGTACCCCGAGCTGCTGCTGGTACTGGTGGTACTGTTGTGGCTGGTGCTGGAGCTGCAGCTGGTGCTGGGCGTGCTTGTGGTGGGGCCAGTGGTGCTGGCGGGGCAGGCAGGGGTCGTGGGGGTAGGGACGGAGCTCTCCTTCTGGCTGGCATCGTTGGTGCTGGTGGTGGAACCCGACTTCTTTAAATCCAGAGCTAAGCTGGACCAGCAGGACTCAGAGAACAAGTTTGCATACACAGCTTTGATCTGTGCCAGGCTGTCCTGGGGGTACGAGACGCTGTCGGGACACTGCAGATCCTCCTTCTCTTCTCGAGAGGAAGAGCCTTTGAAATGGGCCAGCTGGTCGCTGCTCTCGCTGAATGGCGACCCATAGCCGGCGTCCTGGTTAGTGGCAGAGCTGACCGGGGAGTTCTGGTAGCTCTGGGCCTCTTTGATCTCCGTCTCTTCACTGCACACGTACTCACTTTCCTGAATGTCCAAAGACAGCCCATCATCCTCCACGTGCTCTTCATCTATTTCTGCTGCCTTCAATTCTTCCTCAGGAACATAAGCTAGGAGAGAAAAATGAAACCCAGTTAGAAGTAAATCATCTTCAAGGATGCGGCCTCCCCAGCAGTTAGATGATCTTTAAAAAAATATTTTTCAGCTGAGCTCCCAGGACACAAGGCTATCCCAACTTTATACATCTACCCTTTTGCAGAAGGTAAGTTTCAAAAGGCGCTGGCCCCTCCTGAGTGACTGTGTCTTCACCAAAGGAGCCTGAACTGGAGGATGATGTCCCATGCTCTTCCCAAAGATGTCAGTTTGACCCTTGCAGCCTGGTGGGAAGGCTGGGGACATGGGACTCCAGCCACCTCCTGCCAAGTACCCCTCCTATAGGCTGTTCTCTCCATGAGTGACACGTGAGTCCCCTCATGACTTCCACGTGGCAAATATTTTTAAACACCCACCAGGCAGGACCTGGTGATCAGTTTTTAGAGCAGGATACTCAGAGGCAGTACTATATAGTTTCCATAAACGAAAATAGTCCTCAATAGCAAGCAATAAAAACACTCTGGTCTTCACCAAAAACAAGAACCAACACAGCGCCGCCAATCTGCTTAGACAGAGCAAAGCATCACCCACATGGGGCTGCCAGACAGATGGCAAAAGCCATCACCACGGCCCACGGCAGCCTCATTTACTGCAGCCTAAAGCTGGAAAGCACCGAAGTGTCCACTGCTGGCTGGAGGGATGAACCCATGTGGTCCATCCACACCATGGACCGTGATGTCACTCGGCACTGGAAAGGGGGTTCCATGCACTGCAACGCGATGGTCCCTCAAGTGCCGAGTGCGCACTGAGGGGAGGGTTCACAAAAGGACACGCACCACATGGCCCACTTCACGTGGGGGCCCAAGAGTTGCCACAGTCACAGAAAAAGAAAGCAGAATGGCAGTGGGTACTGGGAGAGGGAGGCTGTTGTTTGGTGGGGACGGAGTTTCCGTCTGGGAAGACGAGAGCATTCTGGAGATGGCGGGTGCTGATGGCTGCACAATATGAATGCTCTTAATGCCATGAAACTGTGCACGTACAATGGTCATTTACACATTATAAACATTTGATCACAATAAAAACTGTTTAATTATGAAAGGCCAATGGTCCACACTCCATCCGCCTACTACAGGCCCACCACTGCGCAGCAGAGCAATGTCATGGGCTGAAGGGGCCTGCAGGATATAGCAGCGGTCCCACGGAAGGGGCTGAAGGCCACAGATGCTGAGATGCCTGCAGGACACTTCAGAACCTTTACTCTGCGGGACACCTGCCTAATTCCCAGGAGGAGATGGCTGCACGTGACCCTGCCTCATTCCCAGGAGGAGATGGCTGCACGTGACCCTGCCTCATTCCCAGGAGGAGATGGCTGCACGTGACCCTGCCTCATTCCCAGGAGGAGATGGCTGCACGTGACCCTGCCTCATTCCCAGGAGGAGATGGCTGCACGTGACCCTGCCTCATGCCCAGGAGGAGATGGCTGCACGTGACCCTGCCTCATGCCCAGGAGGAGATGGCTGCACGTGACCCTGCCTCATGCCCAGGAGGAGATGGCTGCACGTGACCCTGCCTCATGCCCAGGAGGAGATGGCTGCACGTGACCCTGCCTCATTCCCAGGAGGAGATGGCTGCACGTGACCCTGCCTCACTCCCAGGAGGAGATGGCTGCACGTGACCCTGCCTCACGCCCAGGAGGAGATGGCTGCACGTGACCCTGCCTCACGCCCAGGAGGAGATGGCTGCACGTGACCCTGCCTCACGCCCAGGAGGAGATGGCTGCACGTGACCCTGCCTCACGCCCAGGAGGAGATGGCTGCACGTGACCCTGCCTCACGCCCAGGAGGAGATGGCTGCACGTGACCCTGCCTCACGCCCAGGAGGAGATGGCTGCACGTGACCCTGCCTCACGCCCAGGAGGAGATGGCTGCACGTGACCCTGCCTCACGCCCAGGAGGAGATGGCTGCACGTGACCCTGCCTCACGCCCAGGAGGAGATGGCTGCACGTGACCCTGCCTCACGCCCAGGAGGAGATGGCTGCACGTGACCCTGCCTCACGCCCAGGAGGAGATGGCTGCACGTGACCCTGCCTCACGCCCAGGAGGAGATGGCTGCACGTGACCCTGCCTCACGCCCAGGAGGAGATGGCTGCACGTGGCCCTGCCTCACGCCCAGGAGGAGATGGCTGCACGTGACCCTGCCTCACGCCCAGGAGGAGATGGCTGCACGTGACCCTGCCTCACGCCCAGGAGGAGATGGCTGCACGTGACCCTGCCTCACGCCCAGGAGGAGATGGCTGCACGTGACCCTGCCTCACGCCCAGGAGGAGATGGCTGCACGTGACCCTGCCTCATGCCCAGGAGGAGATGGCTGCACGTGACCCTGCCTATACTTCGCTGACCAAGGTTCTTTAATTATTTTTCCCTTTTTGAGGGAACAACTAGCTGGACCGGAGTTCCTTCAACAACTTGGGATATTTGGGGTTAAGATATTTTGCAGAAAGTCCCTGTTAAAAAGTGCATTGATCTGACCTGAGAGGGGTGTCTCATGAAATATCATCATTCATTATCAATCATCACAGCCAGGGCCTAAGGGAACATGGCAAAGAGCACACACGTTTCCAGGGAGGACTGACAGGAGGGGCAGGAAACATCTCGGCTGCCCAAAGGGAGGATGCCAGGGAGGGGTCGGGGAGCCGTGTGAGAGCCTCAGCACCTGCAAACAAAGGCCTTCAGATTCTCGTGGCAGCCAGCACTCTCAGGCACATGCACAATCACATGTGTACGCGCGAGCACACGCACACACACACACAATGAGAGACAACTGAATCGGCCACGTGGAGTGTCTCTTCCAGCTCAGGCCCTCCTGCCCTTTTCTGCACATGGCCTCAGCCCCACCTCCTGTGAGAGCGGAAGGCAATCTGCACACCTGTGCTCATGTGTTTCACGGCGGTACATGGACAGCAATCTATTAGCAAATCTAGGAATCACAGTCCTGTTCATACTGTGCTGTGAGTGTGGAAAATACTCGACCATGGAAGACCCCGGGCCTCAACTACAGGCATCAGCATCTGGGCAATGCTCTAGATGATTCTGACCTTCCTGGGAAATATAACACTCATAAAATTCAGAGAGAGTTGCCAAGTTCAGGTGATTGTCATTTGCTGGTAGTTACTAAAGGTTTAGGATGGCCCGGTTCTGAGGGTTCACCATTGGGGCCCAGGCATGCCACTTTAAGAACCACTGGTAAAACTCGTCAGCTTTGAACCAGCCTGGCCTGGGCTACCGCGGCTTGGGCCCCAAGGTGCAGCTCCTCAGTGGACTTTGAGGGTGACTGGGAAGGCCGCAGCCTGTGCTGGGTGGGAAAATGCCCAGGTGACGTGGAAGACCCGGCTTTATGGTGTTGGGAGGCCTGAGCATGCTGGCCCCGGCCCCTCCCGCTGTGTGCCCTCACACGGTTCCTTCCATGGGGATCTACTACAGGAAAGTGCCTCATGGCTTTCACCAAGCCGTCTTTGTGAAGGGGAGCTTCATGGCTTGGTCACTAATGTGAAGGAAGCATTTCGCTTGACTTGGATCTGCTCCATTAGGGGAGCCCATCACTGCTGGCCTGCTGCTCTGTGTGCCTCTGCCCCAGCCATGGCCCACCCCACAGGAGGCAGCCACCTATGTGTGCTGATAAGTGAGTCTGATTGTCGCCTGGGCTGCCACATCCACATACTGTAGATGGGCTGGCCTGACCAACAGAACTTCCTTTCTCCCAGTTCTGGAGACTGCAATCCCAGGTTAAGGCCTGGCAGGGTTTGGTTTCTGTGAAGCCTCTCCCTGGCTTAAGGAGGGCAGCTCCCTCCCTGAATGGCTGTTCTTTCAGCATGTGGACAGAGAGAGCTTTTGCACTTCTAAGGCCACCATGTTGGACCAGAGCCCTGCCCTATGACGCCATTTAATGCTGATTACTTCCTACAGGCCCCTTCTAATACAGCCATGATGGGAGTCGGGGCTTCCACACATGAAAGAAGGGGACACAACTCTGTCCACAGCAGGCTTTCATCTCAACTCTGAAAACACAGAAATGGGAAACCTGCTGTCATGCCTCCAGGGTGTGTTCAACACTGGCCAATCCTTGTCCTCTTGGCTGGAGCAGGCGCCCACAAAGGATGAGGAGTCGGGGCTGTGTCTCAGGGCCTGGCCCTGCATCAGGACCACAAGGTGATGGCCTCTTCCCGCACCATCCTGCACCCGTATCCTCCCGGCAGGCGCAGAGTGTCAACCAGGGCAGACTCCATTCAGGCCGTCCTCCTCCAAGACAGTCTGTTCTGCGCCCCGGAAGTTCCTAGGCTGAACTAAAATGCATCGCATTGCCAATCTGTGTCAGGAACAGACTGGACCTCAAAGATCCCCAGAACGAGAAGGCCCACCTAAGAGGCCATCTTTCCAGCAAGCCGTTTGCTTACGCAGATGCCCACGGCCCTTTGCTGGCTCCAGGGTGTGTGGAGAGGGTGGGGGGGTCCATAAAGTCCCTGCCCCGCTGCACTCATGTCCCAGGGAAGAAATAAAGCAGGGTGATCAGGCAGCGTGTGACTGGGTGGGCAGGGACACTTTTGGAAGGGAAGGAGCTCCAGTGGGGACAAAGGTGAAGACTGGCCCCCACCAGTTCAGGCTCTCCCTGCCCGCAACCAGCATGCCCACCTTCCAGATGCCATCTGGAAGCAGCTTCTCACTCCCCACCTGGCTGCACCTGTGAGCAGCACGGGGCCCTGTCCCTCACCTCGGACCCTCGGTGCCCGCTTCCCCTCCCTGTTCTGAGCTGCCCCATTCCCCGGGTCTGCCTCCTGCTGTTGCCCGTCCTTCCTGTAGCCTCTCTTGGGCCAATCTCACCTTCTCCACAACCGCAGTGCCTGTGCCCACCACGGCCATGGGCACCCCTGCACACCTGCCAGACACAGGCCCATCAGGGAGGCACCTGTCATGCGGCCCCCAGGGTGCTTTCAGGGCCTGGCCCTGTGTAGGCCCGATGGAA